ATAAATTCCTAAAAGATAACATAATAACCTCTTGAACATCAGTCTTACCAATAATTTCCTGAATATGTCTCCTCAATCAACAGAAACAAAAGCAAAATTAAACAATTGGGACTACATCAAACTAAAAAGCAATTGCATAGAAAAGAAACCAAAACAAATGTCACTCTACTAAATTGGAGAAGATATGTATAAACGATATATCCCACAAGGGGTCAATATTCAAAACATATAAAGAACTCGTACAACTCAAAAAAAAAAACCCCTAACAATGTGATTAAAAAATATGCAGGGGATATGAATAGACATAAAGAAGACATACAGGTGGAAAACAGACACATGAAAAGATGCTCCATATCACTCACTAATAATCAGGGAAATGTAAATCAAAACCACAATGAGATATCAATTTACGCCATTCAGCATGGCTGTTAGAAACACAAAGAGTAATAAGAGTTAAAAGAGAGAGAAAAATGGGAAACCTATGCATTGCTGATAGGAATATATGATGCCTCCACTATGAAAATCAAATAGTATAGAGGTTCATCAATAATTAAAAATAGAAATATCATGTAATCTATTAATGCTACTTCTGGGTATTTATCCAAAGAAAATGAGAACATTAATTTCAAAAGGATATATGAACCTTCATATTTACTGCAGCATTATTTATAATAGCTAACATATGAAATCAACCTAAGTTGATTAGATGAATGGATAAAGAAAATAGGGTATATATACACAATAGAATATTACTCAATGAAAATAAAAAAGAGATCTTGGCCATCCATGGTAATATGGATAGAACTAGAGAGTATTATGCTAAGTGAAGTAAGAGACAGAGGACAAATAACATGTGATTTCACCTATATGTCAAATTTAAAACACAAAACAAACAAGCAATAACAAAACAGAAACAGATTCATAAATCCAGAGAACAAACTGGTGGTTGCCAGAGGGGTTGGGATTGAGAGGATAGATGTAATAGGTGATGGTTATTAAGAGGTACAGATTTCCAATTCTGAATTTTTTACTTTATAAAAATGAAGATGAAAAGTATAGCATTGGGAATATTGTGCAGCACTAGTAATATTGTAGTAACTTCGTATGTTGATACTTATCATGGTGAGCATTTTATTATATAGATATATTGTTGTATCAATATGTTGTATACCTTTGATCTGGATGATTACTACATGAATGTATACACGTGTCAAATTTATCAAGTTGCATACTAAGATATGTGCATTTTATTGCATGTCCTTCAAAAAAAACTGTTGTACACTTACAAATAATATAATGCTGTATGTCAACTATACTTCAATTAAAAATATTACATAAATATCATACATCATCTCATTTCTTTTACTGAATATTTATTATTTAAGGAATAGTGTTAATGAGAGTAAAAAGTGTTTTATAGCATTAATATATAAAATAAAAATTTTCAATAGAAATTTGTTTGACTTATTTTTTAAAATTTCTATCATGTTTTAAAATGTGTATTGCATTTTAGCATGGTAATATATCTATACAATTTATAGGTAAAATGTGTACATTTAGAACATATTCCCAATGAGTTAACTGATATGAATGTAAACCAAAGTGGCTTGGAATCTCTCCTCTACTGAAGAGACCAGAAGATGAAAGACAGTTGAGAACAAAAGTAGATGAGATAATCTGGGGAAAATTCTAGAGTGAATGAACAGGGTTTCCAAGTATAGACTCAAGGGAAACACAAGTGTCATAAAGGGCAAAGAGAACAACATGACCCAGCACAAAATACTTAGCTGGGACATTTAGGAAGGTAAGAGCACTGAGTGTTATGAAAGAAGTGAAGACTTTCTATACCAATGCAATTCACTTATTGTAATCCAATTCATTCTCCAAAGGTTCATTGAAAATGACACTTCCTTTGGGAAATCGTTTTTTTTCTCCAGGTCACCATTCATTCCCTTCACTATTGTTTCGTATAAACATGTTTATACTTTTTTATATCACAGGCTAAACTGCAAGCTAGTGAGCAATGTAAGCGTCTTTCCCAGTAGATTATGAGCTTCTTGTTGGGAGACATTGTAAAAAAATAAATACTTCTTATTGTCACCATGTTACATCATGCATGCACTCTGCCCATTGTCTTTTCCATAGATTCATTATAAGTACTTAGTAAAGATTAAAAAGTACAGAAGTTTTAGTAATCAATGCAGCATGTATAGAGGATCTAGCTTGTTTGTTTTTTAGGTGTTCAGAAGATGCATGTCATGATCAGTTACTTATGCATATTCAGATAAGACTTTTACAATCAAGAGACATAAAAGTCACACTTGATCAAGTGGCAAATATGTTATAAAATTAAGTAAGTATCATTTAAATAAGGAAAAGGGACAATCCTATTTAAAAGACCTAGGGAAGTTCTCACTGAGGATATCAGATTTGAGCTCAGTGATGAGTAGGATTGGAATGGAAGGAGGTGGAGAAGAAGGGGTGTTACATGAGGAAACATTATAATCAAATTAACTGAAGCAACTGTGCAGAGGAATGGTGCACCTAGAAGCATCCTGATGGGACAGGAAAAAAGCAAGGTGGTAGGTAAGATACAGAGAAGACTGTGGAGCATCTGGTATACCAAACTAAGGAAAATGGATTTGGTTTGAAAACTAATGAGAAGTTATTACAAATTCTTGAGCTCGGGAATATATATATTTTTCATTCTTTTGACAAATATTTGTAGCATTACAGCATGCCAGACACTGTTCATGGTGCTGAAACTAAAGGAATGAATATAACAGGGAAATTCCTTCCCTTTTAAGCCTATTATGTTATGGTGGTAGTGGGAGGGAATGACTGGTTATAAAGTAGTAACAAATAACTATACAATATATTGAGATTGACTAGTGAAATAAAGGGGAAAAAACAGTGTTATAAAAAAAAAGTCAGCTGGGCTGAAGTGAAAAGAAAAAATAATCTCAGCAAATAGTATTATCAAAGTTTCCAACCAAGTTTTTTCAGGATGTGGAGACAAAATCAATTCACAGAGTGAAGTTGATGGCCTTGACTGAACCTACCTCAGCTTATTAGTTTTCTCTCCAAGTCCTAATCCTCTTTCATAAATGACCTTAATCCTCAAAACATATTAATTCCTTCAGTAGGAGATCTAATCAACTTGAGACTTTTTAAACTCATTTTAAACTTTATGCACAGAATAAGGAACAAAATTGTAAAATGGGATGTTACATCAGAAGCAGCAAAATGATCACCAAATTACCTTAGTAACTTTAGTGAATTTGCTTTAACATCATTTTTCTCAAAGGTCATCTTTAATTAATGTCATATAGGCTATATATATAATGTTTTGGTGACCGAATCTCCCTACAGAAGTACACTGATGCCAGTATGAGGAAATCCCATTAGCATTTAATGGAAAATTTTAACTTTGTATTGTAAGGAAACACAGGTAAGGACAGAAGGTAATACTGTTTTATAATTCAGACATATTTGCAATTACATTGAAAAATTCAGTAGCATATATAATATTATAAAGCAAGTAAATAAAATTTTCAGCCTATATCTTATACTGATGTTTTCATTATTGGGAAAAAAATCTATTTTGACCATAAAACTTAAGTGATAGAAACATTAGTCATTATGTTCTGGTGAATCACTAAATGACAGAAGACAGCCTTTTAAAGGAAAACAAAATTTGTTCTCAAAATCATACTAAGAAAAAAAAAAGGGTTTTCCTTTCTGTAAGGGTTAAACAACTGAAGTGTACAGGGGCAGACTTACATTTATTAGCTTTTAATTTACTCTGATATAGTTCAGAAAATCTTACATAAGGTTCTTAGGACAAACAGAAAAATATTAGATAATTTAATTCAAATACAAAAAATACCTAAACTTTTTAAATGGTGAACTTTGAATAATTTCTCTTGTAAACTATTCAAAATAGTTTCAATTTACAGAAACCAAAGAGGTCACTAAGAATCATTGGTAAGTTGGTAACTTATCATTAGTAACTAAAATGTTACCTGCCCCAGGTCTTCATATTGGAACTAAGACGGGAATCAATACTGGTTTTTCCCCCATTTCATTTTACACATCTCATTAGAAGCGTAAGTCATAGCTAATCTCATAATGCCCACAATTCTATTAAGGCAATTATCCATGTACTTTTTTTAAATGTAGATTGTAGGTTATACACAAACAATTGTAGATTGTACAGAGAATAGAAAACATTCTTAAGGTTTCAGAGAGTGGAAATAGTGTAGTTTGGGGGCATTTAAAACTTTATTAGTAGCATTATATATTAAAGAATGTATTACATAAAGGAGGAAAGGATTTATGTATCTGAGCAAAAATCAACAGTTATAATGGCATGGACATATTGTTTATGGATTTGGGCATGATCCTAGGAAAAGGAATGAGAGAGGTAATAACCTATGGGATTTATTTTCATAGCTTTCCAAGATGATAATCTTTTTCTAAATTCTTCATGATCTTCACTCAATTTCTAAGGTATATATTTAAGATGTCAATTGTATGCTACCTTCAAATATTTACTCTGCTGGGAGGATAGATGAGTTTTGCTCAGTTAAAAAATACATACAGGAAAATTAATTTGAAATTTATCTTAAGGGTCTTGAATATAAAAAGTGACAGATATTATCTGGAAACAATCAAATATGGGTAAACTAGATATGTACACTATTCTTGCATAAATGTATAGAGACAGACCTTTTCAACTGTAAGCATTTTTTCTGGAAATATAAATGAAATATCAAACTTGTGAATCCTGATTGTCGAGATGAGGTCATAAAGCAGGTATGTTATGGCAACAAATGTCCTCTAGATATCTGTGTGCCTGGATTCCAGAGACAGTAGGGGAAGCTTGAAGAAGAAGCTCCTCTCCTTGTTATAAAAGTAATTTTTTGACGGGAAATTACACACATTCTAACTTAGCATCTTTTATCTCCATAGGTCCTGTATCAACAGACACGGTGGATATGATTGAGGTAAACCACTCCTTGACAAATGACTTTATTCTCAGAGGATTTACAGATCACCCAGAGCTAAAGACCATTCTGTTCGTGGTGTTCCTTACCATATATCTGATCACCATGGTGGGGAATCTTGGCCTGGTGGCATTGATTTACATGGAGCGTTGTCTTCACACGCCAATGTACATCTTTCTGGGTAATCTTGCACTGATGGATTCTTGTTGTTCCTGTGCCATTACTCCAAAGATGTTAGAGAACTTCCTTTCTAAGGATAGAATGATTTCCCTCAAGGAATGCATGGCACAGTTTTACTTTCTCTGCCTTGCTGAAAGTGCTGATTGCTTTCTTCTAGCTGCAATGGCCTATGACCGCTATGTGGCCATATGTAGGCCACTGCAGTACCACACCATGATGTCAAAAAAACTGTGCATTCAGATGACCACAGGGGCCTACATAGCTGGAAACCTGCATTCCATGATTCACGTAGGGTTTCTGTTTAGGTTAACTTTCTGTGGGTCTCACCAAATCAATCAATTCTTTTGTGATATTCTTCCATTAATCAGACTCTCCTGTGTTGATCCTTTTATCAATGAATTGATGATATTTATCTTTGCAGGGTCAGTTTCAGTCTTCTCTTTCATCATAATTGTAATCTCTTATCTCTGCATCCTTTCCATGATCTTCCAAATGAAATCCAAAGGGGGGAGAGGCAAAGCCTTATCTACTTGTGCATCCCACTTTCTCTCTGTCTCAATATTCTATGGCTCTCTTCTCTCCATGTATGTCCGACCAAATTCAATTAAAGAAGGAGATAAAGATATGCCCATTGCTGTTTTTTACACTGTAGTGATTCCTTTATTAAACCCTTTTATTTATAGTCTAAGAAATAAGCAAGTAATAAGTGTTATGACAAAAACTATGAAGCAAATTTCAAAATGTTATGAAACAAATATCCTGCGGAAATTGATTTTAACTTGATAAAACTTTTTTAAAGATCACAGAGTACTGAGAGAGTGGAAAATGACCACTTTGTCCATAAAATATTGAATTACTAAAATGATGGTATATGGTTCAAATAAGTTCAGAAAGGAGAGAATCTGCTAGAATGTACTTCAAAATATAAGCTATTAGGTTACCTCAGCAGTTAACTGGATAAATACTCCTGAGGTCACAAATTGTGTCAGGGTGAAATTAGTTACACTGCTCACTAACTGCTTCAAAGTGTAATATGTAACAATTTGCAATAATTCAAAGAATACTAGAGCAGAACTATTACATATAAAGGTTGCCTCTAATAATGTTGGCAAATCTCTGGAGTTCCAAAGCACAATTTTACAAATTCCTGTAGGTTCCAAATTTTTAAGGCTTAATCCCTTCTTAACCAATATTGTATGAGAAATAAGCTGTATTTTTTAGTTTGATTCTCAACTTTCCTTGAGTTTATTTGGATTATGTTTGACTATTAATTCATGCAGAATATGTATTCTCTAACCAAGAACATTTTTCATCACTAGCCTTAGTCAATTTATTTTCATGTTCCCTGAAATAGGATATCTGTATACTGGCGACTTATCAAACTGCAGTTGAAAATGATGCTATTTAAATAAAACCCCTATAGATTTTAACAGTTTTATGTAGTCTGATTACTTGTCCATCATTAATGATAGTGCAATTCCTGAATATACTAATTAAATACAGGGTTTTCTCTCTCTCTGACATTATTACTTCTCTTGTTAGGAGTATCAGTAACTGACAGAATACAATGTTAATTATATCTTCATAGAATCAACAAAAAGCGAGAGATATGTTCAAGCATAAATGAGGCAGAAAATAGTGAAAATTCTAAGTATCTAAACAAAAATATTGGCAATTTCCATGTGCAAATATGAAATAAAAAAGTTTACTGAGAACCTACTATCTTCTAGGCACTAAGCTAAATTTTTCATTTTTATTACCTACCATTAGTTAGGCATTATTTTTCACATTTTCCTTGGTAAAAATCTCATATTTTGAAATACTGAATAGATTGCCTAAGTTCATCCAGGTCACCTGAACTGCACTAGAACTCAAATCAATACTGCCTTTTCCCTATATGCTTAGGAGTTCAGAAGATAGAGAGGTTAGTCGAGTGGGTTATTTAGTTATAAAGTAGTAAAAATCAAAAAACAGGAATAAAGTTGCCCAGAGTCAAAGTTTGTTGAAACAAGTATGGCACTGGAAATGGAGGATGAGGCAGATGAACCACGGAGCAGAATCAGAAGCTGACAAGACTGCTGGTGAGAGCTCCTCCTGAGTCTGTGAAGTAAGGGTGAAAGTGGATCAAGTTGCTGAGAATCTTAAATGCCACCCTAAGAAATCTGAATTTATCTTGGAGACATCAGACAGTGAAGGCTTTCTGGAGCAAAGTAATATGATTATAACTTTCAGAGAACTGATTGAGCAATTGATTGTAATAAGGCTAGAAGCAGTGAGACTAAATTCAATAATTCATATTCTAAATAATGAGAACTGAGACTGGAGAATATTCTAAATGGAGAGGACTGCACAGATGCAGCAACATTTTTAAAGAAAAATTGTGAACTATAACTGTTAGATAATAAAATGAAGGCCTGTCTTCTTCCTTTGAGTATCACTCTCATATCTGATTCTGTATCACCAATACTTAATAGATGCCTAACACAATTGGCCATTCAATAAAAATTATCTTCAATATGTTTTTATATAATTAGGCAAGTTAATATGTAATAGGTTTATTATTTTTATTGTTGAATGAATCAACAATTTTAATGCCTCAGTTTTAATTTATAACATTGCTCCTACTGATAGCTATGATCCATATAAACAAATTTTGATTGGGTCCTAAATACTTTTTTTTTGGTATCATTAATGTACACTTACATGAGCAACATTATGGTTACTAGACTCTCCCCATTATGAAGTCCCCACCACATACCCTGTTACAGTCACTGTCCATCAACATACTAAGATACTATAGAATCACTACTTGTCTTCTCTGCAGTATACTGCCTTCCCCGTGTCCCCATCTTCTACATTATGTATGCTAATCATAATGCCCTTTTTGCCCCCTTATCCCTCCCTTCCCATCCATCCTCCCCAGTCCCTTTCCCTTTGGTAACTGTTAGTCCATTCTTGGATTCTGTGAGTCTGCTGATGTTTTGTTCCTTCAGTTTTTTCTCTGTTCTTGTACTCCACAGATGAGTGAAATTATTTGATACTTGTCTTACTCTGCCTGTCTTCTTTCACTGAGCATAATACCCTCTAGCTCCATCCATGTTGTTACAAATGGTAGGCCTAATGTCTTACTCTGCCTGTCTTCTTTCACTGAGCATAATACCCTCTAGCTCCATCCATGTTGTTACAAATGGTAGGCCTAAATACTTTTTAAAAGAGTAAAGGAATCCAGATACTAGTTTGGGAAGCTCCAAATTAGATGGGCATAACTCTTTCATTGACCCTCTATCTTAGTGGATATTTTTGGTTGTCAGAATTACATGTGTTGACATATATATTAGCTATGTACATACATATCAATTGATTTGCCTTTTGTATGGGTACAAAGTTTTATTATGCATATCTGCACTCCCCAGCCCTTACAATTAGTAACATAGAACCCAAGAAGTCTGTTCAGGGAAGAGTATGTGACTTATTTGGTATTAATGAGACAAAAGAGGTGATTTTCTGGAAGTTTCTGGAAATATGTTTCCTTTATTTTAAAAGATCCATTAAAAAGTAGTGTTTCTACCTCTTAATGTCATGGTATGTGCATGTAAAATCTGGTACTCTGTATATCCGTTTTACCAACAACAGAGAAACTAGCCTAGAAATGAAATCAACACATAGCATAGCTAAGGGAACCAGAGAGAAAACACCCAAAGTCACCAGAATAAAATGTCCTCTGGTTGTATAATGAAATAGATATTGTCACTATTTAGGTTTGTTTGGAACAGATGCTTTTATCATTACTGAATAAATATTAACCATTCATTTCTGTCTCTTGCATTACCTCTCAATTTATACTAAATTTTAAATAACCCTCAGATATTCTTTTTAGCTTACAAAGAACTTTTCAGCAATATCCAATTAACTATTCATGACATCTTTAAGTTTGTTTGTTTTCATTACTATATTTCAGTTTCTAATAACCCCTTTTTAAAAAATAAAAGGGAAGGAGGTTTTGTGATTTGTCCTCAGAAATAATAAGGCAAAGCACAGTGATCACACACAGACTATCTGGTTCCAGAATCTATCTTCTTAATCACTAAGTCATACTATATATACCATAAAGAACTAAAAGTAGGAGAAAAGGAAAATTTTCAAGACAAAGCTATGAAGTGGGCAGGGAATAGAGTAGAGGTTCAAAAAAGGTTTGGATATATGATGCTTTACTTCAAATTTATTTTGAAAAATTGCAAACCAAAAGAAAAATTAAAGAATTATCCAATTAATGCTGATCGATTTATTTAATGAAAATTAAACAATTATTAATCTTTACATTTTCCTGTCTATCCCCAAGGTATATAATTTGTGTGTGTGTGTATGATGACATCATAACTTTATACTCATAAATACTTTAGCATACATCTCAAAAGAACAGACATTTCCTACATATTCATATTATTGTTATCCCCAAATTTCACATCACTAATGTGAATTTAACATTCAAATTTTTCACAATATTTCTAAAATTGCCTTATATGTCAATTTATTTTTTATCAAGAATTCAATTGAAAGTCACTATCTACTGTGAGTTATGATCATTCTGCAGTCTCCTTTGCCCTAGCAGAATATCCTCTTGCCTTTCTATTTCCTTTCATGGCAATTACATTTTCAAATATTTAGGTCAGATGTCTCATAAAATATCCCAAAATATCTATTTTTGAAATGGTTACATTCAAATTAAACATTTCAGCAATAATGGATGTGCTATGTTTTCCTTTGGTATCATAAGACCCATAACACTGGTATGTCTTGTTACTGAAGATGTTAACGTTGATAACTTGGTTAAGGCAGTGATCTTTCTATGGTATAGATAACTTTTTTCCTTGTTAATGAAAATCTCCATCTGTAGGATAATACATTGATATTATGTGAATTACCTGTTCTTTACTAATTTTCATCAATGGTTTTAGCTTGAATCAGTTATTATACTTAGAGGTGGAAAATAATGATGGCTTCCCCCCAAATGCTGTCTGGCTTATTTGGGTGCAGATGAGCTTTATTTACTTCAAAGCCTTTTTCTTTAGATTGTATAGAGTGTTCCCATGTATCACACATCCATTTTCCCATATTATTAATATCTTTTATTAGTAAGGTACATTATTATAATTAATGAAGCAAGAGTGAAACTTGATGATGAACTGAAGTCCATAGTTTTTTTCAAATTTCCATAATTTTACCTAATGTCCTTCTGCTGTTCCAGAATCCCATCAAGGACATCCTATATATTTAGTCATCACGTCTCCTTAGGTCCCTTTTGTTGTGACAGTTTCTCAGACACACCTTGTTTTTGATGACCTTACAAAGTCTTTGGGAGTACTGATCAGGCAGTTACATAATGTCTCTCAGTTTGGAGTTCCCTGGTATTTTTTTCATGATTTGATGGGGGCTATAGTTCTTGGGAGGAAGCCCACAGAGGTAAATCACCATTTCTGTCACTCATATCACTGGTAAATATAATTGCCATGACTGATAACTTTTGATGTTGACCTTGACCACCTGGCCGAGGTAGGGTCTGCTTCTTTCTCCTTTCCAAAATGAATTCTTTGCAAGGAAGCCACTATATATAGGTCACTCATGAAGGAAGGGGAGTTACACACTACCTCCTTTAAGGAAAAGTATCTACATAAATTATTTGAAAATCTTCTGCACATGAGATTAGACTATGCACTTTGTTTATTCAATCATTTATTTACATCAGTATGGACTCATGGATATATATATTTTATGCTCCAGGATAT